TGAGTCCTTCGACTGGTGGTTGAACTGACAGGCGATTGGAGAGCTCCCCTTCGAAGGCCGATTTGCAGCAATCGCTGACGCTGTATCGTGGATATCCGTTGTCAGTGGCTTTCTTGCGGTTGTTTGCCAGGCGTAAGGAGAACTTAGCTCGTAACAAGGCGTGGTCTGTGTCCACAGCTGTTGGCCAGTAAGAACGGCAGTCTTGAATCGACCTTCTCCAGCGGTAACTGATGGCGATGTGGTCGATCTGGGTCCAGCGCAGTAAAGAGGTTGGCGGTTTCCATGTAAGTCGATGGCGTTTCTTGTGCGAGAAGTTCGTGCTTGACAGGAACAATCTGTGCTCCGCGCAGAGTTAAAGTAGGCGATCTCTGTTGTCCGTCCGGTTGGCTGGGATTGCGTGTGGTCCGCCAAGAAGCCTTTCTGATTCGTCCAGGGATCCCACTTGAGCATTGAAGTCCCCGGTGACTACCAAGACGTCCGTTGATTGAGCACTTGAGAGAGATTCTGGTAGAATTCCTCCTTGATTTCAGGTATACTGCAATCGGTCGGTGCATACGCCGATACGACGAATAAGCATCGACGCTTCATTCTGTAGCTCTTGACTCGAACTGAACCGTTGAGACGTACACCGCACAATCGGCTACTGACTGAAATCCAGTCGAGAAGCGAGCGCTCAGCCTTGGCACTTAGCGCAATCCCAACACCAGCAACACCGCGAGCTTCGGATGCCGAATCGCCTGACACACGAAGGGTGAAGCGTGAGGTTGAGGTTGGATCAGGAGAACGCAGAGAGATAATGAAAGTGGGGTCTTGTATGCATGGTTCGGACACAACATACATCTAAATTGAAGGTTTCGAGGGTTCCATCCTAAGTACACTGAACTCTCGGACAGTGTTACCAAATCCCTATACACAAAGGGGGATGACTGTACCGAGCATCCGAAACGTATGACAATTATTTGTCACATTCACTTCGGGGTGACAAATTGGGTGCCTGCTACCAACGCACAACTCATGGCATTACAAGCGATCTGTCTTTATGAGACACTCATGTTGACCGCGTGCGTTGCCACGACTTGAAGTATAACCAAGATCATTCGAACCTTCCAGGATGTCGCAGAGAATGTATTGCATTCCGCGCGAGCAAAACAGGAAAGCTGTGACTGGATCAACTTCTAGGCTACCAAACCCCAAAGTATGATCAAACCTGGCCAAGCATTTGGGCTGTTTCTCTTCGGGATTTCCGTTTCCTGAGAAGAGTTGTGCTGATGATAATCTACTATGCCAACCGGATCCTGTACTTTTCAGAATAAATCCTTTGCTTACTGCATAGCAGATTACTCCCATCTTCACAAAAAGAGATCATGACGTTCATACTTACACAAAATGAAATGAGGAGTCTTTTTTCAACGGCTACACGCGTCCCCTGACAGCAGCAAATGACACATGGGACATTACCACATAGAAAAGGCTCATTCGAGATGGTTGTCCTGTTGCTTTATTTTCCACATGCACCGCCGCAAAGTGACGAATCAGAAGTGTGCGTCATCGCGAAGTTGAGAAAAAGGAAGCATTAACAGTTGGGCGGTTATTTCACTTTCTATTTGCTACCATCAACGGTAGTTTACAAAAGGACAAGGTAGAGAACAATCAGCGGTAGAAGCCGTAGCTTACATGTTCCCGATACAGCATTCACCTGTGCACCGAAGCTCAAAATAAGTATCGACACTCTCTTGCGGCCCTTGTGTTTCCGTCATGTAGTACAGTGAGTCCTAGAAACCAGAATTTTTCATCTTGATATTACACATGCTACATCTTGTCCGTTCTAAAATCTGTTCTTTACGAAGTAATTAATTACTGATGTTTTGACAGAACTCAAACCTCAGTAAATCAAACGCCCATTTGAAAACTAATCAAAGCCAGTCATTTTAAGCGATTATTGTTAATTTTAAAGGTTCGTCGCCCTTCATTTCTCGCAACAATTACCTTTTGTTAACCACAGACGAAAAATTTCGATTTCCCTTTGTATTTCATTGGCTCCCTGGCTGGGGACCTCGAGATGACCGTACCCGATGGTTAGAGACACTGAGTGATGTGGCTGAGGGTTGTAAAATGTGGCGTTCGTGCATCTCAATTTCTTAGAAACCTTAGTTTACTGGAATTCTTCATCTTCTATTCGACTCCACTTTTACTTTTCCTGTCTTTTCTCTACTTTTCATTCAAATGGGCAGCCAAAAGATCAAACAAAACCGGGTCACGCAAAAACATGGTTAATGGTTGTACAAACTGAAGCTGAGGTGTTATCATCAAACTACGAAATGCGATAAAGCGAATATCGCTGATCTTTCGCCTGTTCAGAAATTTCTTCTATAGTTATTAAATGTTCTAACTGTTTTCTCCATTACGCATGCCCCTCTACATCCAAGCGGACCGCAGCGGTGCTTACTAATATTCAGAGGTCTCTCACAGTGAAGGGTTGACGCCTTGCTGAACAAATCCGTCTAACTCAGGAGAAGTAATCAGGAAAGAAACTCCATGGCACTACATGCTTCAAATTTAGATATCTGCTAACGAGAATGTGTACTTCTGGATACCTTGTTGTCGGTTTCCTCTCTAACTCCAACTGACGGGATTTCTCAAGAGCGATTTCCGATTTCCATTGAAAGCCCACCAGTGGGAATTCGTACCTGGTTGTCAAACTCGAGGCCGATTCTTTTGCGGAAAACGGCACGATTTTCAAAATACGATCTTTTGGTGGAAGAGATGGAGCATGTAAATTGCAGTTGTAATGTCGATCATCAAAATGTCAACGAAGATATGGTGTCTTCGGAGCATTTTACCGTCAAAACAGGCGTCACAGATGTTTCACTTCATGGAGAAACAAACCAGCTGAAGAAACATCTCCAAAACACGCACCTGACGCTTCACGTCATAAATGAAATCAAACGGAGAACAACGGCTCACGGTCAAGTCGAATTCCACTTCAGACAGAAGACATATGTTATCTATTCTCGTCTCTTAGTAACTTTTCGTTTGTGTTTGATTCTTGGTCACTCGAGTTCGTTACATTAGGTTCGAAACTTGTTGACACTACTAAACTCCAATGGTACATGCTATTGCAGTCGCCCGGCGCAATACTGTGCCCAATTCAATGGGACAGGTTCCCGAAATTGAGGATAACCTCTTCCACTGTAACTGTACGCATTCGTTTCTTTAAGCCTAACTGTTTGGGATATACATGACCTCGAGGGAAAATGGGACTGAGCTGTACAACCTAAATTGATTGCTCAGTGCAAACGACTGGTTATTACCAAGGGTAGTCGGTGAGTTTCCCTTATACCAGCAGCATACCAACTTAAAAACAAGGAGCGAATAAATATGATCCAAGCGAAGACCAAAGAATCTAAAACATTTATTAGTGTTTTTGAAATGGGAGGTAAATAACTGACGAAAGGAACGTACGAGTCAGGGTTATTGTACATTTCATAAGATTTACAACAATGAAGCAGCTGCTAGATGAACAAAACTGATGATTTAACTTAATTGGTATGACTTGATGGACCGACAAAATTGCGCTGACAAGAAATATTAGTGAGGAAAAGTTACGCTTATCATTACAGCGAGGTCAGATTCGTAGATTATCTCGAAATAAAATATACTAGCCTTAAGTCAGACTGCCGACAAAAATCTGCTCGAACTAAATAAATCCATCACGTCAGGTGGTCCTGATGGACACAGATGCTGTGAAATAGACCGCATTCCTCTCCATGACATTCCAACGGAATAGAGTGACTATGTTCTGTAAATGAGACCATGAAGGAGAACGGGGGTGTTGGTGAACTAGAGTTTGGGGTTGAACAGTTTTCCTCGGTTTCTTGATGGCTGTTCGGCGATTGGGCTATTTAGCGACGGCAGTTCACGAATATAGAACATTACCCAAATAAACCGACTGTGTTGTCCCACCGTTACGAAACCGACGGTAGGTGGTGAGTTCCACAAGTAGTATGCATACGAGGAGACAGGGAAACAAGTGTATGGATCAAGAGGTTCATGTATGTGTGAGCACAATGGTTGCGGTGGTATCTGCGGTTAGAGCCCTCAGAGGCTGTTTTGGGGCAGAGCAAACTTTAGGCAATTATGAAAATATACGAATATACGAATATACGAATACACAAAATAAAAGTTATTAGAATTTCATCAAAAACGTATGCATACAAATCTCAAGGAAGAAGAATGCAATTAGGATGAAGGAAACAAGATCGAAGTGTAGAATAAAACATCGCTTATGAGCAGTCTAATGCAAATGGGAAAGGCAACATCTACCTACGAACGGCAATAAACACCAATTTCACCAGTGTACGGAGGTCTATGCATGAGTGAGAGGACAGACCGTAACTTGCCCATATATGCTGTGGGAGTGGTCCGGTTGAATTGAACACTGCTGATCCCAGACAACGGTTGGAAGATCCTGATGTCCAAGGATGTATGAATAGGCAATCCGTTTACCTGCCAACATATCCGTGTCCTTCGTATGAAGTGACCCTGTCTTTTAGGGACTAGCATGATTTACACTGTCGAATATCCTACGGAGGCGTATTTGACTTTTTTTATTACACAATGTGAATTGCAGTAAACGGGGAAACCCCCATGGCCAAATAGCATACTTGTAATATTAATCGCATTGCCTGGTCCCAAGAACAATGCGGCTAGTGAATGGATGAGTTTGCAAAAGTTTCAGCTAAATTTGCACTGATTTAGTGCGTCACTGACAAAGATCAAAGCCGGAGACATGAAAAACACTTCTGAAGCAATGTAAGCCTTTAATCCCACTGATCATAGTTGTGACATCGCTCTCAGGGCCCTACAGGTGCACTGTAAATCTTCAGGGAATGAGATATAATGAAAATCCCTAGGCAAATTCTTCGAATGAATTTCGTACGATATACGTACGTGAAAATACAGAAGGGTGAAAAAAGAAATAATCGCATTTCACAACAGTATCAATTCAAGATAATACGTGTGTTAAAATTACTTACCTCCTGCGCAGCGGCTCGAAATTCTCCACCGGGTGCCATGCCAAGCATATCGATCAAATAGGCATTCAATCGCATAAGAAGGTACTGCCACACACCATGAGAGGCTCCGTGCTGCATCGAAGCGGTAAAAAAGATGAAGGAACTGTCAGACTTCACCGAAGAGAGCAAATGATTCGACTTCAAGGCTATATTTTAGAAAGTCTGAATATCGCCATGAATATACAGGTTGCATCGACCAAACTGATGAAAGTTCGTCAAGGCCCAAATCCGTTTCAGAGTGTTTCGTCGAGATAAGGAAACGTGAAATGCGGGTTCATCTGAGAACAAAATATCAAATGACATCGGCTAGGTTCTGTGGTTATCTGAACGGCCGGCAGAACTCCATAAACCGAAGGGATCGACTAGTGGGAGTATATGCCGGAACATAGTTTGTAACCTTGGTACTTTAACATGCGATTTTTCATCATACATCTTTGAGAGATGAACACGAGGTGAGGTGAATCCTATCATCATCATTTTATCATTGTACAGCGTAATACACTGAAGCGAACTTCACCGATCGCTGACAAACTTACAATGTATGCAAGGCAAATAAGAACGTGTAAAGCGGATAGGGATTGGGCCTATTTTTAGGGACGAGAAGAGAAAACGAACCTCTATAGTCAACATACAGAGAGCACAGTCAAACTGTGCATACATGGTATTTTAAGCATTCTGGTCTGATGACGTGACAGCAAGATCGCGATTGCTGTTGGTTTGCTGCTATGATCTTCAGTGTCTCCAACCATGAAGTTTCGAAGTCTTCTGGACCCCAACCCGGAAGAAGAGAGACACCTACTCTACCTAAGCGCTGAGTATTTCTTCAGGTCTCGTCTCCACGTCACCTGCTGGCCTATTCGTGGCTTTCTCCAACCAGTAACAGCCACTGCGAATAAGGCGTGCTGCAGTAGGCAACCTTGCCCAAACCAACGGAGCTGAAATCAATGCGATAGGGAGTTCTTGTTTGACGCATTCCTAAACACCCGACGACTCACTTATAAATTACGAACAAAACTGATCGTATAGTGGCGCAGTATACGTGGTATTTCAATTTCAGTAAAACGTCACGTAGCCGCCACAGGTGTCTTGCGTACGCTGCTTAAGCCTTGGAAACGCGAGCGGTTATCTCCTTTGAAGAGATACCGCTTTTGGTCACACAGCTACCTAAGTACGAGAAGCAGTCAACCTCAGCCGATTCCTGATAGTCCAGTTTCAGAACGGAATTCAGCGACACCCAATCTTGAAGCATTACTTTGCACTTTGAAAGTGCAAAGCGCAAACCGAAGGGAGCGACAGAACTTGCTAATCTGTCGTGCTTTTTGTGCATTCTCCGTACAGACAAACAGACAAACGGTGTCGTCAGCGTATTCAAATGGTGGTGGTGGTGGCACAGTGGTTTGGTCGCTGTCCACCGGGTACTTTGGACCCTATGATTCGATATTCCAGCCTCGCCATCGTCACCAACCTTTGGTGGTGGGCAGCTCTGCTGTCGTCCGGTTCAATACCACGCCCAACCTATCGGGGCCCCATGTGGTTCGCCACTCCAAGTCTCGGGTCTTAGGTTGCCGGTTTCCACCACTGAGCAGCAGGTCCTCGTGACTATGGGGTTCGCTCCGTCTGCTGTTCAACACAGTTAGGCGTATAATAAAAAACCGTGGTACTTAAATAACCATGAGAATGTTATTTCACATACGTCTGAATCCAGATTATGTACCAAACAAATCAAAGTACAACCATCTTTAAAACGAATAAAAACGTCCACGATTTGCTAGTGAATGGAATACTGCCAGGTTTCCCAGGTCAAGGGAGGTGATTTTTCTTAGGTAATTCACAACCGGAGCCTTTGATTAGTCAAAGCCTGACCCGAAAGATAGTAAGGCAGTGCCCAGTTCATTCGATTATACACCCATCGAACGGGATCAAACGTCCAAGGTGCTCAGTACACCTCGACAACCAATCGGGCCGGTGAACACTGCCATAGCAAGGTGTGGTTCACACTCTGTTTCATGGTTTGTTTGGAATCAAGGGTTTTAGCAAACTCCCCTAAGTGATCTAGTGGCTCACCGACCCGGTTACAACCCTGGGTACTGGCTTTTCGTCTTTTCACTTTGATGGGAAATCCTCTGCCACGGGTAGTCAGTGAGTAGCACTTACTCAGCAGAGACTATTTGAGACGCTCAATCGAATAGGGGCATTCGTGAAATGCAAAGGGTGACCAGCTACAACCCAAGACATCCGACTCCGACCACATTGGGTCTTTCGGAGGCCAACAAGGAGAATACTCACACAATGTAGGATTTGTATTTGTTTAATTAGATGTTAGCTAATTCTTCTTCCCCGTAAACTCCAAGAGAAATGAGTCTTTTGATATTACTCATGCTGACGGTACATTTCAGGAACTACAAAAAAGCCGGGCCCAAATTGAACAATTAAAGGACAGATTACAAACCACATTGAGCGATCAAGAACAATTGAAAAGCGAGCTGGAGGCTGTACATCAAATGCAAATAGACGAGCTGCGCAAAACACACGAGCAGGCAATTCTGGTGGGTTTCAATTAATTTGATTCTGGTTGCTATGTCTCTTTTCTGAAAAAGTTGACTGTCATTGTAGGGAAAACGAGCATTCATTTTCTTAAACTATATCAGAGGGTCTAAACGTGCCCTAATTCTTGTAGCAAGCGAATTATGAATGGAACAATACAAAACTGCGTACTCAAAGCGTAGTGCAACCTCATCGTATTAGTATTTTGCTTGAGCAGGTAGACTAGATAGTGGGTTCATTTGTTCACTTAGTTCCCCAGTTCAGTTTATAAATCAATGCCAATAAACTCACAGACACCACTGATAGTGATTTGAATCTTACTCTTTGTCAGGACCACTCATGGTCTAACTCACTAATCAACAACTACTTTGCGTTTATTCCCCCCTCCCCTTATTCCCCATCACCAATTGCATAGTCATGGGTAATTTCCGCCAACTTCTTCAGTTTTAGTGAACTGATGACCGTCGCTTACTGTTTGTCTTATTCTCTCCACTAATATTCATACATAGTGCGGCAATACTGCCGCTGAGTTCTGATTGTACAAAACATAAATCCTGCGAATGCCTTAAACAGATCCCCCGGCAGACGAACTTAAACGTTTTGCATTGATTTGTTGCGCACTAATTTAGACAACAGTGAAATGCGCTTCATTTCGTGAGGATGATTATTGGCAACTAAAGCCATGAAACTGAAAGCGGTGAGAAAAGTAAGATCCCAATAGATGTACGATACCGAGCAGAATGATGATGCTATGTTACCACGATTCAACAACCGGTGGTAAGCCACGAAACAAGTCTTTAGGCGTACTATCACCACTATACTTACTTGAACACGGCTGGCTCCTTGGAAAGGATAAGCCATAAATGTCTCTGATTGCTGCCGTAGAAGACAAGATCATCAAGTTACTTGAGATTTTGGTACGAGAGACGTCGCCAATACATCTTGATGCCCAGTTGAGCCGGTGACCATTGCCACAATCGAAAAAGTGTGGTTCGTACGCCTCCTCTTGGTTGACTTGGGATCCGGGTTTTTTGACCAACTGTCCTAGATGAACTACCAGTGGTCCACCAACCCGGTGATAGCCCCGGATGTTGGCTTTTCGTCCTCTCACTTTTGTGGGAAAGCACCTTCGCCACGAGAAGGCAATGAGTAGGGCTCCCTCAGCATAGGCTATTTTAGACGCTTGGTCGTATGGGAGCATTTCGCGAGGATTTTACTTTGCTGCGGCTGGCTCCTGGGAAAGGATAAGCCAGCTCCAGACATGATCATGGAGTTCTTTGGGAGTTCGGTACGAGACGTCCCAAGCGTCACTCGGCGTTTTTATTTTAAGTGTGCACCTCTAGCCTTTGTACAACCAAGTGCGAAATGCAAGGCAGCAAGAAGTAATCCCTCACCTCGGAAGTGAGGGGGTCAATGACCTTAGTTATAAAAGGCCAATCACATTGATCTTCGTCACGACACCGTCATTGGGCTTATGCGGCTGTTAAACAGGAGCCAGGTGACTAGCCTGAAACCCACCACATCCTGGTAGTACCGCGGCTTTTTGTTCACGACTGCTTATTTGTTGCGGTATGCCACAACTTATTCACAGCTAACCTTCTTCGGTAAAGGTATCCCCTTATCCAAAATCCGGGGACGAGCATGGCAGCATTCAGCTCTGCTTAACCCGAGGGTATCCAGGTATCACCACTATGACCTAGTGCATAGGCCAAATCCGTGTGCTACTTGTAAACGCACCGGGGACATAACCAACGAGAAGTGCGATATTAGAAAAGTACGTAGGTAAGGTCTGACAACGGTAGCCAGGAATATAAACAGCGGATGACTATATAAGGTATTATTTCGAATGCTGCCTATGGTATAACTGAACCTGCTCAGAGGCCCAGTGTTATGATTCCCTGGTTAACTTTTCGACATAAACATCCACTGGGGTCCAAGAAAAAAGTCCATGGCGTCAAAACAATGGAAGTAAGCAAACAGTTCATCAAAAATTGAGTTTGGTCACTCTGAATCTTGTAAACTGAGCTAGCACACCTGTGAGCGATACGTATGACAACGGTAGACTGTTCCACAAATCACTTTAAAAATCGTTTGGTTCAGTTCATCGCAAGCTGAGACCAAATTACCAACGAAAGANAATCACTGTTATTATCACAGCTTCTTACGCTCCTAGAGCTAGTATGTCTGCAGTGGTTCGGTCATGTATCGCATGAACATAGGAATGGTTTGACTGAAACCACCCTGGCGTCGTTTTCCTCCCCAAACTAGTATACTATTTACAGCTTGTTGCCGACCGCGGGAACTATTACTCAGGTATGTTTATGAAGCCAAATTATCCTCCTTCAGGAGACGGTAGTAGTGAAGTATAGAAGGATTAGCCATTGAAAAGCTGCCAGTTTGGAGCTGTCTTTACCCCTGAGCTATACAATCAGTAGACAATATTGGTTCAGGAGAGCTATGTTTACTTGCACAATCGAAACGCAACACCTACAGTGGACCACGTGGACTATGGGCTGGTTTTCCAGTGCCATGTGAGAATCATTACAAAGTTACCTCTAAATCAAATCTATACAGCATGATTATTAATCGCTGATTTGATCCACCAAGCAGATGTACATAATTCTGCACCTCCATTAACCCGTTTTTCTTCGCGGAATTTATTTAGTCACTCAAAGAGAGTGCATCCAAGGACCGAGCTCGTGTTCGAACAGCTGAAGCACTACTTCGGCA